GCAAGTCGGACAGCAGGTCAATCTCGGTCTCAGCCGCCACAAGATCAGGCACTCAAAGATGAACCACAGAAGAAAGAGCCACCGCCCAGTACGCCCAAGACACTGAAGCGACAGCCAAAACCCAAGCGAGATTCACCACCAGACAGCGACATAAGTCTGCTTACTTCTCCGGAGTCTCGCGCTGAGGAGATGGTGACAATTCCTGCACTGCAGCCTACTCAGGGATCACAAACGAAGCGAGCGTCACCAAAACACAAGCGTCCGGCAGCCACCCCAGAGCCTCGAACCAATGAAAGATTTCCGACATCTTCATCAACGCCTCTCAGAGTTCGCCAGCGAATTTGGGCGACGCTGTGCCCAGACAGGCAGTGCGTCGGTGGATACCCATTTGAGGTTCCCATACCTCCGATTGCTCAACTCAAGGCTCATGTAATTGACGATCTGGGGGAGGACAACAACTCGAATGAAGATCCGGACAAGCGACTTCCTCTGGCAAACTACATCCACCCACATGTCACCATCAGCCTCACCCAGCGAGAGCGACCCGACGGCGAGCCGGTTCATACACTGGTACTTGGCCTGACTAAGGCGACGTCCATGCTGCGCTTCTCCCGGCTTGGACTGCTCCAGGCCTACGACATGGCCGTCTGCTGGGCGTCCAAGGTCGATAAAGACGGCGTCAGCTTCTCTCTTCGAAGCGCTTTTGACGGCTGCAACGCGGTGACGGAGGGCTTTGCGGGGGACAAAATACGCATCGAGGAGATGGCTGAGCTGGAGAAGCAGATTGAGAGACTGGCGCCCCGGCGTTCGCAATTTGACATGGTGGTGGAGCGCATCAAGGACTGGATGGAGAGGAGCGGACACAAGACTCAGTATACGTCCCGAGAGGCTTGGAGCGATACTCTTCGCAAGTGGTGGAAAGATGAACATGATGATGTGGGCGGGCTGAATCGAGAGGAACTGAAGGATGCTTGTCTACAGGCCATAGAGGCCAAGATGAAGGAATGGGAGAAGGAGAAGAAGCGAGCCATCGAGGAGCCCGATTCTGACCTGGAGATTATTGAGTCCCCTCCCAAGAAGAAGGCTCGGTCGCGTTGATGTATATGCACAATATCATGGTGCGTAATTACAGATCAATACCAAGTACCGTACACCAGATCACTTGTCCAATAAGTCATATCAGTATACACTCTCCTAGACCCCTTGCTTGGCCTCCTGAATCGGCTCCCCGATGTCTTCCACCGCATCCTTCTGCTTCCCCCGATCCCTCCTGACCAAGAACCAAATCGCACCAGTAATGAAGAACTGCACCACCATCGTCGCCACAACACTCCTAAACCCACGCCGAAAGTGCGGCGCCTCAACAGCAGGAAACTGCAGCAGCTGCGCCCAGGCAACAATGGCCTGCCCAATGGCATTCATCGACGCCGTCACGATGGCGCGCTCCTCGGCATCCCCGGCCATGGTAATTGTAGCCCACGCCATCGTCAGCGAGGGGATCGCGCCCTCGAACCCGTTGAGCATGAACGCCGCCAGACGACCGCGCTCGCCGACGTCCCACGCCACGAGCAGGATGACGCCAACCAGCGATGGTACGGTGGCAGCGACAGATAACCCAGCGAACCAGCCCGTGCGATCGGCCACGGCGCCCGCGGCAAAGGCCGAGACGACGGAGATGGCGGTCGCGACGGTGGGCAGGGTGTTGATCCGCGTCACGGAGTATGTCGCGGGGAAGGCCTTGAGGTAGAGGGAAAACGGGGACCCGCTGGGCTGCAGGTTCTCGTTCATGATGGTCCACTGCGCGACGAAGAGGTACCAATGCCAGCGGCGGAACACGCGCGCGAAAATGTCCCGCGAGACCTTGAGCCGCGGCGGCGCCGTCAGGCCCCGGAGGCGGTCGCACGCGAGGGCGTAGAGGCGCGGCGGGAGCAGCCTCGGCCTCGACCGCGCGGGGACGTCCGGGAAGACGAAGAAGCCGACGAGGGCGATGGGGACGGTGATCACGGCGTCGACGATGAAGAGCCAGCGCCAGCCGGCGAGGCCGCGGGCGCCGTGGAGGTTGGTGTAGGCGGCGGCCTGGAGGTAGCCGGCGAACATTGTGCCGAGGGGCGCGGCGACGTAGAAGAGGGCGACGCGGCGGCCGATCTCGGCTGGCTTGTACCAGGACCCGATGACGTAGATGATGCCTGTGAAGGAGGAGGACTCGAAGAGGCCGGTGAAGAAGCGCATGGCGTAGACTGTCTGCACGTTGCGCGCCCAGGCGAGGCCGAGGGTGGAGAGGCCCCAGCCGATCTCGAGGACGGGGAGGACGATGTTGACGGGGTGGCGGGTCAGGTAGTAGCAGGCGGGGATCATGGAGGTGCAGTACGAGGACCAGAAGACGATGGTCATGTAGTTGAGCTCGTTTCCTTGGAGGTTGAGGTCCTCCTTCATGCCGCTGTGAACTTGTTAGTCTGGGGTATCGAGAGGGGGGCGCGATGCGGAGTGAAGAGCTTACCTGACGTAGGCATTAGTCAGGGAGGACTGGTCGAGGTACTTTGTGAAGAAGCAGAGACAGCCAAAGACGAGGATCAACAGGTCCAGACGGAGGACGAGTCTTTTTTCTTCGCTGGGCGTGTCTTTGGAGTACCAACGGATCGCCGTCATGAAGCGAATCCACGGGCTGTCGCGGGATGTATCCTGGCTTTCATCGTGAGTGTCGGCTGAGTCCGTGGCGGCCACGGGAGGTGACTTTTCCTCGAGTGAAGCCATCGCCATTGTCTTGAGCGCAGACTAGGGAGGGCAGTTCATCAGATCCGAGCCCATCACAAAAAAGAAAAACGCTTCTTATGGCCGACGGCTTGCGAGGTCGCAGAGTCGTCGGCACTCGCAGTATGGCCGATCGCATCAGTCCCGGTAATAAACGACTCGTCTGCCCGTTTCGGCCAACATCCGTGCCGTTGGTTGGGTTGCGACAATGGCGCAATGGTAGCCCACTATGGCACATGGTCCAATCCCAGGTGTCCTCCTCCTCTGCAATGCTACCGTCTCTGCAGCTTTCCTAATGGCCATGCTCTGGAAAGTATGGTGGAGTTATGATAAGATCCTTTACAAAGAACCCTGATAATCGATGTGACCAGGCTAAGCTTTTGTGGCGTCTGGACCGATGGCCAAAGTGGAGACACCGGTGCTGTGAGCGCCGTTATTCGGAGCCGGATCCCGAGACCTAGAGCCGATTGATCAACTTCACTTGGACAGACATGCAGCAATAGACTCCGCTTGGTGAACCGCAAACCCAAAAACTTTTGTATATCATCCGTTGCCCCCGGGGCATATCCCTAGACATCCATCAATTAAGCAGCACCTTTCCACACCCCCCCTCGCTACAGCATCCTAAACCAAAAACCCCCTGCGCGCCTTCACCGGCGCCCTACCGCGGGCCAGCAACGCCTTCTTGGCATTCACAGAATACTTCTGCGCCTTGGGCGCCAGCCTCTCGTCCTCCTTCTTGACGGTCCGGAACACGGTCGTGCCGACGACCTCGTCCCTGGGCGCGCGGGCCTCGCGCAGGAGTTGGGCCTCCGCCGTCTCGAGCTTCCGTGCCTTGCGGGGCTTGCGATCCCCCGCCCCGTCCTCAGTCTCGCCGTCGTCCTCCGAGTCGGACTCGAGGAACTCGGCCGGGAGCTCCGAAGGGAGATCCAGCCTCTTCCGGCGTCCTGTGGTGGCGGCTTCCCGCGCCGGAGTCTCCGTCTTTTCCTCGCTCTCCTCCTCCTCGTTACTCGACTTCTTCGCCGGTGCCACGTCCTCTTGAGCCTTGCGCGCCGCGGCCTGTTCTTGGAGCCTGGCGTTGCGCTCTTGGCGCTTGCGCTTCTGGTTGGCTTGTTGTCTGCACTTTGGGTTAGAATCACTGAGAGGCAAATCACGCAAGATGGCAAAACGCACTCTGCAATGGCCTTGTTGGCAGCCTGCGCAGACTTCTTGGCCTGCACGGCAGCCTTGGACGTAGAAACTGCCTCAGGCGCCGCATCCGAGTCGGAATCGTCGTCGTCGCCTCCCTCGGCAACGAGCGCCGTCTTGGACTCCGCCGCAAGCTGTTCCGCAGCCTCGTGCGCTTCATCGCCAATCGACTCGGGCGAGGCATCAGAATCCCCAATCTCATCAGCGTCCGTCCTGGGAGCCGGCTGCTCGGCGCCTGTGATGATCTGCTTCTCCTTGACGTCCTGCGCGCCCGCAGCCGCGCCGGCTTCCGATTTCAGCTCCACGACGAAGGAGGCCCTCTTTTTTGATGATGACGATCGGCTGGTCTCATCCTTTCTGCTGGCAGCCGTCTTGCCCTCCTTTGCCCGCACCGGGAGCTTCTGCTTCTTGGTGGTCGCAGCTGCGGCCGGCGCCTCGGCGGCTGTGCGCTTCCCGTTTCGTGTGGTGACCATTGTGAATCTGAACCCTTGAATCTGTCGAGGGTGGGTTGCTCGTTGTGAGCGGCCGGCCGTGAATCCGCTGTTGAATATAGCACTTGATGAGTCGCTTGTTACACAGACGATTTCGTTCGCAGCCAATGTGATTCAAGATATCCTCCTTCAAGAATGCAAATAGTTGTAGGTGAGTCGGGATGAGAACTTTTGTCAGTGAGGTGGTGAGTGAAGACAGAAATGTCGATGAAATGTCGTCGCGAAAAGGTGTAGTCGCAACTTTTTTTTTTTCGAGGTGGAGACTGCCGTCGAGCAGATGGGATTCGATTGGTTGGTCGCCTTAGACCCACTTCACTGGCGCGGACCTCACTCGAGCTTCCCCGGAGCCTCACTCCCACCCTCTCACTCATCATCGCCAGCTTTAATTCACGACGTCGCAAAGTGTCTCCAAAAAGAGACTGAAGGCGACTGTTCAGCTCGTAAAATACATTAAAGTTGTACTGATAGACTTCAAAACGTGCATTGGGTCGCACCTCGACAACCGATAAATCACCGGCGATCGCGCCACATCTCATCTCATCTCATACTCACCACCCCAACACCATCACCAACATGTTCCGCCTCGCGACAGCTCCCACCCGCACCAGCGGCGTCAGAAGGCATCTCCTAGCCTGCGTCTCCACGCCGCCGTCATTACCATGGGCCCCTGCAGCACCGTCACCACCACCACCGACAACGATGCCGACAACGACAACGAGGACGCTAAAGACAAAGAGCAAACTCCGGCCCCTTCCGGGCCTCAAAAAGTCGAGCGCCAGAGAGGAGAAGCCAAAGCCTCGAGACGTCGTCTTCGAGCCCCGGTCTCTCACCGAGTTCAAGATTCTGCTCCGCGAGCGAGCCTACATGAGCGTCACGGCGGAACGGGCCCACGACGTCTACATGAAGTACATGAAAGCCCTCGTCCGGCCTGATAAACCACGAGACTGGCAAATGGCGTTCGTCAAAGGTTAGCACACCCCCCCCCCCCTCCCCCTTTCCTTGCTGACCACTTCACGCACCAATGCTAACGAAACCCCGCAGAAAACAACATCACGGCGGGCGAACTCCATGAGACCGCCGGCCTCCTCTACTTCACAAACACCAGCTCCGAGTCCGAACTCATCCTGCAGTTCAACATGATGGAGACGGCCGCCGGCCTCGGCTACGATCCGGCCGCCCTGACCCTCGGCCGCCACCTCTACAGGGCCGAGGGCAAGAAAAACTACTACGACTGGGACAACCCGCGCTGGCACCACACCCGCACGCGGTGCCTGGCCCTCATCGCAGAGGGCCGCGACGCGAACGCCATGGTCGTCGCCGGCCTCCGCCACCTCAACCGCGAGACGGAGCGCGACGACTACCTCGCCCTCGAGGCCTTCACGCAGGCCCTCGCGCTCGGCAAGGACGCCGCCTACTTTGACTGGATGTGCTCCGCGCTCGAGGGCCAGGGCGACGCGTACCTGCGGCTCGGCGAGAAGGACAAAGCCAAGGACACCTTTTTCCACCTGGGAAAGCTGGGCTACGCGCGGGGGTGGTCGCGCCTGGCTGACTTGTACCCGGACGACAAGGGGACAATGGGATGGCTGTTCAAGGCGGCCGGGGCGGGCCTCCCCGGTTCGTACCAGAAACTGGTGGACCATTGCGAGAAATGGCGCAAGTTTTGCGCCTCGGACGAGAAGTGGGCAGCCTACTGGGAGCGACACGCTTCGGAGTGGACGCGGATACTAAAGGCTTCTATCGCCAGAAAGAAGTTGAATAAATCCAAATAGGTAGTTCACGGGATGACGTGTATCAAAATATGTACAACTAAGAATCTAGTCACGCCGGCCGACGTTGCCCGTGATGCATTAAACTAAGCATACTCCTGCCTGTCCTTCCACCCGGGCTGGAGGTAGCTCCAGTCGCGGTTGAACTTGAAATCCGTCTGGTACTGCCCGTACCGCACCAGCTTCAGCCCGTCCAACTTGGCACCCGCGTCGGTCTGCGCCCACAGGCTGACGGCCAGGGTGTTGCGGCCGCGATTGTTGAGCACGCCCGGTGGCACAGGGAACCGTGTCTGCGGGCCAATGTGCGGGACGTACTTGCCATACTGGTACCCGTTGATCCAGAACATGACGCGTGCCGTCGTTCCCGCGGGCGCGGAGAACTCGATGCCCAGCGGCGCGTCCAGGTCCGAGTCGATGTTGAGCGTGAAATCCGTGACGTAGAAGCGGATGCCCGCGCCGGAGAGACCGACGAGCGGGGACTCGGGCTTCCAAGAGGAGCCGGTGGGCACAAAGCCGGGCAGGTGCCAGCCCAGGCGCTCCGGGTAGAGGCCACCCTCGTTCATGGGTCCGCGGACGGGATCGATGTTGGCCTCGCCGCCGGCCGCGCCCGCCAGCTTCCACAGTTTAAAGCCCGTATTGGTGCGTGTGCTGCCGGGTTGCAACTGGGCGCCGAGGATGCCGCGTGGGTTATTGATACCCTGGGCCGTCGAGGCCTGGTCGTGGCCATGGTAGTCGACCACAACCGTGACCACGTTGTTTTTCTCAACCAACGCGGACCGAGGGAACGTGAGAGTCTTGTTGGTTGTCGTTGCCGAAGCGGACCCAACGTCGCCGCCGAGGAACTGTCCATTCACCCAAGCCGACCATCCGAACGCCAAACCGCCGGAGGCCGTGATATTGACCGAGGTGGCGTTGGCGCCGTCAAAGTAACCGCGGTAGATCTTGGCACCCGAGTAGAAGCCATAATCGGAGCTATAGAGCACCGGTAGAGTGACTGGAGCATACGGGCTAGGCGTCGTCGTCTTGTTGCAGACGGTCCATCGGGAATCGTCGTAGTCGGACGCCGCTTCGGGAAGGGCTTCGGCCGCGCGCCAGTTCGACAGCTCGGGGAGGGTCACAGCACGGTCCTCGGCGCCGGGAATCTGAGCAGTGAAGGAACCGTAAGCAGTTTTTGTGGCGGCCAGGCGCAGGCCATTCCAGTCAATGGTTTCGATGGGCTTGTCGCCGACGTAGGCCTCAATCGTTGTAGCCTTGTCGCTGTCACCAGAGACGTGGAGGACGCCGTGAGAGATGCTGGCGCTTCTGACGAGGTAAGGGCCCTGAATAAAGAGCTGCTCGTCAGGCTTCACAGTAGGATTTGACGTTGTCGGGGGCGCCCAGAAACGCCACGCCGACTTTTGCTCAAGCAGGTAGACGAGAGCGCCGTTGGAGAATTTGACCACCGTGGAACCGGCGACCTGCTTCCACGTAAAAGCTGAATGGTTACCGTTTGTCGTCTCCTGCAAGTCCGTATCGCCAAACACCTCAAATGTAAGGTCGCCTGCGTCCTTGAAGGCGAACTCTCCCGTCTGACCCTCTTGGAGGTAGAAAACGAGTACCTCAGTGTCGAAGAGGCCATAGGTGGCAATGTCCGCCGAGGCGTACAGCAGAGTGTGCTTGCCAAAGACGTAATCCGTGACAAGGATCTTGCTTTGGCGACCGTTGAGCACGACGTTCGGGACGGTAACGGATCCGGCTGTCGTGTTGAGGGTGACATCGAACTGGATGGGGGTCATGGACTTGGTGCTGGCTTGCTGCACGACGGTAAAGCCAGCCTGGGTATCGGGATTACGGAGAACCCAGCTAAAGGCCGAGGGTGAAGAGAGCTATGGGCGTTAGCAAGGGTATTATGGAGAGTCCGCGCGACTTACACCGTAGCCAGTTCCGTTCCCAATCATCTCAACCTTGAGCAGATCCGACGAGACTCGGGTGAAGAGTCCGATGAGCTTTGTCTGGAAGAGTTTGGTCCACTGCTCACGAGTCTCGCGGAGAGGGGCGCTGTAGTCGTAACTGGTGTAGACCTGAGGTGCGGCGGCTGCTCTTGTCAGTGTCTGCAGCGCATTTCCTGATTCTTGTAGGACTCACAGTGTCCCCAGTTCGTTCCGCCGTAGCTCATGTAGATGCTCAGCAGGGTCACGCGCTGGCCGATGTTGTTCTTGTAGTAAACATCCGCAAAGGCTGGGTCGTGCTCCGAGGCACACTATTCTGCATGTCAGCACGCAGTCCTTCAATATTTCAGAGCACACGCACCTGATCATAGAAAGTCGCGCTTCCCCAATTGGAAAACCAACCGCCCTCAAACTCGGCAAGGTAGCTCGGCTGCGTGAAGGAGTAGTTGGAGAACCACTGAAAGTAGGTCCGGACGACGTTGAAGCCAACCGTCGGGTCGGTGCAGGAGAGGGCGCCTGGGTAGCTGTCGAGGCCGTAGACGTTGACGGCGCCGCCGACGTTGTTGTAGTCTGTGGACCACGACCGGGAACGCATACCCTTTTCGTTGTGCGTCAGCGGGACTACGATGCCGGCGTCGTGGAATGCCTTCTTCAGCTGTTCCATGTAGATGACCGAGGTGTGGTCGGGGGAGTAGACGCTCTCCTGGTACTCGTTCTCGACTTGGTTCAGGATAACGGGCTGGGCTTGTCAGCGGATTGCAGATGAACGGGGACGAAGGCACCTACGCCGCCATTGGTGATTTGGTTCGCGGCGATAATCTTGCCCACTTGCGTGATGAAGGGGAGCCACCCGGCCTGGTACCGCTCGTCAGAGGTTCTGATCTTGCCGAAGCGACCGTCAGAGCCCCAGAGAGCGAGGCCGCCGCCATTGGTTTCGGCCTGGACGTGTCAGCCTCTTGACATGGTCGAATATACTAGGTTCTCACATTGCAGTAGGGGCCGGCTCTGGCAATGACATAGAGCCCAGCCTCTTTGCAGTAGTCGAATAGTCGCTGAATGTTCTTGCCCGCCGTTTCAAAGTCGTAGACGCCCTCGGCAGCCGAGTGGTACGACCAGAAGAAGTAGATGCTGAGAGGCACGGTGAGCGTTCTGAGATGTTGCTGACGTGCGGCCGGTACTCACCTCACGGTGTTGAAGCCATTGGCCTTGAATTTCTGCAGAATATCCTTTTTGTCGAAGGTTTAGTATGTAAAGGGAGGTCCTCGACAGGCTGAACTCACGGGCCACAATTCGGGAACGGCTGTGTGGGAGAAAAGAGTTAGTTACGAATCGAGACCTGAGGTTGGAGCTTCTTACGCGTTCTCTGGTAGTGGAATTCGGCAGAGCTGTCATCAGTCAACACCTAGCTCCAGACGCGATTAAAGGGACGACACGAACAGGATGTACGTCCGGGTATCGTTGATGACGAGACTATACTTGTCCCACGACACCACGTCAGTGAGGCCGTTGTCAGTCGCCCAAGCCCCGGATGCAAACAGCCAGATCAAGGCCGTCAAAGCCTGGTGAAAACGCATGACAGCACAACCTTGGCGGGTTCCAGATTCGTAAATGTGCGGATCGAGCGAGAATGGCGTTGCATTCTAGATCTGCTCTGCTGCGAACCACGCGGGAACGAACCGACTGATAAACGATCGTGAGTCCACCACTGTCAATCACAGGTTGCCGGCCATCAATCCCAGTCGCGGAAATGAGGACCGAATGCGACATCACGAAGAGCTGCATGGCTCTCGCCCCAACAGGCGCAGACCACCAGCTCTTGATTCTAGTTTCCAGCAATCAGATGCTCGAGGTCTGGCCGTCATTACTTCATTGCGGGGTATCCCGGTCACCGTTCCTGTACAGACTGCGTGCCTCGCGTGAGAGTAACGCAGGAACCGTAGTGGCCTCGCCCGTATTATCGCGCAATTCTTCCGCTGGTCCTTGCAAGTGTAATCAAACTGCAAGCCGCACGCGTCCGGCGCAAGGGAAGATGTCATGTTGAGCTGCCTGTTTGGACCATGGCTCACAAAGAGAAAGAAAAAAAGATGAGAGCTCGGCGTTGCTTTGGCCGAAATATTTGGTCGATTGCGGGGTCGCCCAATGATCAGCTGGAGATCAGAGGGGCGACCCGAGCTTTCCCCCAGATGCTAATGGAAGCGTGCCTGTCAGAATGTGGGAAAGCACGCAGACAAGCTTTTTGGGGCATCACCCCGATGTCTCTCGGCCGGTCCTTCCGGGCAACCCAAGCACCAAGTTCTCACCGTCCATCTCTGTACGTGTGCGTCGCATAAATCTGGACCTGGGCCAGTGAGACTTCTCACCACCCATTGTCGGGCATCATGAGATTTGCTTGAGAATTGCGTTTGATCATGGCACGTGGAGCTGCCCCAAAACTTCCTCCTAGGCTCACCTCGGGGAACCATCTTCATTGGACGATGATGAGATCCAGGCAAAAGGCGCTGGCAATCTCTGCATCTGGCGTTGAACTCAACCTCCCGAGTCCATCTTACGAATTGCACAGATTGTACAGCGCCTCTGGAACCATACTGCGATGCCTGCGCCTCGCATCGCCTAGTCGCGACTCTACAAATAAGACATATTCTCAGGCCTCAACAAGCCCTCTGAATACAGTCCGTCGATGGTGGGAGCTTCTCGACTCGAACAAATCGCTCCTTTGTTGAAGCTGCGATCCTCGTGAAAGCAGAAGTCGACAACAATTCGTGTTTGAACGCGCAGTGGCCGTGCAGGAGACGACACAGCATTCAAGCTCTGGTCCAGCTGAAGCGAGAAGAACATGATTCACGACTTCCACGGTGTAGTGCGCACAATTGTGCCCAGTTTCATCTCCAGCCGATTGGCCGAACGAGTGCCTAAAGGAGAGACTGACGGTCTGCAGTGAATAGTCGATGCGCCGGTCGAGCTCATGTCTTCAACTGAAGTCCCATTCCAAGCCAGAATGCAGAAGAGCAGTCTACGAACATAACCGCGAGGTCTCCAAAACGCATGTCGAGAAGCGTGTTCCGCCAGGTCCTGTCAATGATGGTTGGAGGGTCGCAAGGAGACAATCTCTCTACCAGCCATGTCTCTGCTAGCAAAGGAATCCTCTCTGGACACTCGCAAAATGGCGGACGGTATCGTAAAATGTAGGGCGGTGATCTCGCACATGGTCAGTATTGCAGGATTTCTCTGGGTGGCTCACTCAGCGCTGCATCATGCCTAGTCCTTGAGGCAGTCTCGATGAGTACACGCAACATCCCATTCCTCAAGCATCCCATCTATTGCAAATGCGAACGACCAAGTCTGACCGAGCCCGTCTAGGCACTTCGCTATCAAAATTCGCAAGCTTCACGGAACCATGGCCGCAGTATCAGCTGAATCAGCAGGACAAGATCGCATTTCTGACTCCGGTACCAATCAAGGACACGCCGCAAAAAGCACCAGAGGCCCGACTCTCTGCATATCATGACGTGCTGAATTCGGGCTACCGCCTCTCCCAGGCTATATCCAGCCACGGTATACCCCTTCTGGGCCTCGTGATCCCGTTCCGGATTCACGATGAACTCTCATCTCCCCATTCGCACAGCAGCCGGGCGACGCCGTACTCCTACCTCCAAGCAGGGCGGCGTGCAAATGACTCAAGGCATATCTTGGCCGTTGCAAAACCACACTTGGACTGCAAGGCTGCAAGTTGCAACGGCAAGCTAGAACCTGTCAACCACAGCCCTGCATATCCTCCTCCCTGGTTGACTTCACTGGTGAATCGATAGTGCCAAAGCTTCGGCGAACCCCTGGGGGAAGGAGTACAACTTGCACCAGCCTCCTTAACAGCTCTCGCGGGTAATAAAGCAGAAACTTGATGCGAGATGCCCCGTACGTTTTCTTTCCCTCGGGGGAGCAGGGGCTGGTCGTGCCGCCGGCGACGGACCGGGGTAGGCGAAATACAAAGGGAAGCGAAATGTAACGGCAAAGGGATGCACTTTAGCCCCCTTTCCAAGCGATGATGGAACCTGGTAGGCCAATCCCCTTCATCAAATCTTAATATCAACTCCCCGAAGCCGTTGTCATTTTGCTGTATTTGGTCAATTTGCCTCGCCCCAGATTCCCAACCCTGCCACGCAGCACCCTGGGATGCCGCGCGGGAGCCGGAGAATATCCCATACACACGCATATCCGTACGGGAATTGTGCAGCGCCGCAAGAGTAAAGGCGGAAGATGGCGGGCGACGTCCGTCGTGCAACTTCGGCCTCGACCTCGACCTCGATTCTAGAGAAATTCGAATCCCTATGACGAACTTGACCGACTGTGGGGGCCACCGGTGAGTCGCCGGCCTCGAGAGACAGAGCGCATGTGCTCGGTTGCATGCACCAGCCGCGGGCAAACAAGTGCTGGCCGTCCACGATGGTTGTGACCGATGACGAGCCGGCGGCGGTGGCCACAACCGTGCTATGGCGGAGCAGGAGGCACAGACTTGGACAACGTCCCGGCGCCCCGATACAACTGCACTGGCTGGACCTGAACCATCGTGGGATCTATCCGAGGGGTCTGCAGGTAACCGCGAGCGATGGCGGGATGAAGTGTTCTTGATCTGCCTGCGCGGTAGTCGACATATGCTTCCGAGCATCACTTGACGACGGCTGCACGGCTGGCATCGAAATAGACACCTATCAGTACGTAATGAGATGTTGCCAGCGCATCCTCTCTCGCGGCCACAGCGTGACCTCGCCTGAATCCCACAATCGGAGAAGTGAAGTCCAACACATATGGCGCCACCTAAAGACTGTCGACCACGTGTAGTTGCATCAATTCGGCCAGACAGCAGCTATCGAAGTAGAAGATGCTTCCGGAATGGGAGACACGAAACAGGAACCGTTAACCGGAAGCTCAGCAAGTCTGGTAGATCCCCACGTGGCGGGCGCGCGCTCCTTGCCATCGTGCCGTTTCAGTTGTTCCTGGACAAAGAAGACGACAGTAGCATCAAGCTACCTATGGTGAGTTGCAACGCTCGCCCGTTGTGCGCGCATGCAAGCCGCAAACGGCCAATGGCCTAGCCAGACTTTGGCCCTTTTTGGGGCGCCGACTAAGACGAAACTCTGGTGCTGGAGCGCCGTACGAACCTTTTTCTTTTTTTCCAAAATTGGCAACAGAAGGATCGGAGCCGTTGACAAGTGCTGTCGAAAGAGCATGGAGAAGCAGATTTTTTTCTGGCCTCCTTTCTTTTCGTTTCAACCCCGTCAAACATGTGTGCGGGCTGACACGTTGTGGGTGGACCTGGGAGCGGTTCGCAGAAGAGCGGGCGGACGGACGGCAGACGGACGTGGGCGCGCAGTGATGCCATCTCCACCGAGGGTTTAACGTTTTGTCCAAGGTGCGGTCATGGCGGGGATATCCCCTAGAACCCCCAGAATAACACCGAGTCATTGCCAGCAAAAGCCGACTTTTTGTTCACTTGGTTGCCCGAGCTGTGACTGCTTGTGGTTTGTGCAGATGAGCCCCTCTTCTGACAGCGGCTTTTCCAAGCAAGATCCTAGAGTCAACTGCGAATGGGAAGACTCGGCAAGGCGTAACGGCGGGTTCTCGACGAGGTTGCTTCTTCTCGGTGCTGATTACTGCGAAGAAGTTTGAAATCTGGGCCGTACTCCGCAACAAGTGGGATTAATGAGTCTTTGGCGTCCGCTTCCCCTCTTGACGTCGCCGCTCGCGTGGTGGGAACAGCAGGAGCGGGACAAAGTTGATCGGGGCAGAAAAGGACTCAGAATGACAAAGCAACCGGCCAAAGGTACTTTGGCAGGATACATAATTGGTGCGATGCTGTATGTAAGTGGGCAAAAAAAAAAAAAAAAAAAAAGACTGGACCGCACACTCCACCAGAGGTGCGGCAGCGTGAGCCCTAAACGCAGGTACAAGACACATCTGGGCCCGGCATTCTTCGTCTGAACGAGATGCGACGAATGAGATGCGACGGATTTGCTGCGATCCCATGGGGCCGCGGAACGGCGAGCGGTCGCCTCAGCATCGCATCGCAGCACATCGGGACTAGGGTCAGGTACATCCGGTACGTATCGTTGACGAGAACTCTGCATTCGCAGCAAAGCCGACGCAGGGCACAAACTCTGTGCGGGCGTAGGACGGAGACGTTGAGCTCAAGAGACATTGGGCATATTGTGTGTCAGTCAATGGCCATCTTCCGACCCTCCATCGCAAGAGCACCCTTTGTTTGTACCTAGGTATTCGTACGGGGCTGGAGCAGAATTAGACGAGAGACAGAGACTCACCAATGCCGGCCGGCGGCCCAATGGCGAGGCACCAACATGCCAACCACAGGGCCTGTCTCATCTCTAATCCATCTCCCATCGACGTGAGAGATGACGAGCAGCGGGGGAGGCATGGGCTGGGCGTCTCTGATTGGAAAGCGTCGGAGAAAAAGGAAGCAGGAATAGAAGATGTGGAAATGCGCCGTCAGCCCCCAAGAGAGCGCCGGCGTGCGCCCAACAGGCTGGCTGCCGCTGGTGGCCGGGGATTGATCAGCACTGCAACAAGTCTGCAGACAGTACTCCGTACGCAGTGCTCCATGCCATGCTCCGTCCTCACATGAGTAGCCTGTAGGTATGTACTCCGTACTGTAGTATACTCAGTGACTCCGTAGATTCATTCTCCGAGATGAATCTCAGATGCGTTCTTTCGTCATCGGCGCCGCTTTTTCCACTTGTTCCAAGGCCCAAGGAGTTCCAGGCTTCTGGCCGTGGATCTAATTCCCGCAGGCCCCGTCGAGCACGTTGGATCCTGGCGGTCCTCCGGCCTCGTCGCTCGTGTCAGGCCTCGTTGAGCCTTGTCAATGTCGTGCCCTGCCCTGTCGTGCTGTCCTCTCGCTTGCCGGGGAAAACGCAATTTGCAAGCCTGCTGCAGCCTGTGCCTGGCTGGGACAGCGAGGCCCATTATCGGCCAGGGCAGTGTCGTGGAAAAGTGTGGCCATGTGGAGAGACACGGAGTCAAGGAGTGGAAGCCGTGGTGGACCATGGCCCAAGGCTTCACAAGTCAAGACCCAGGAGTCATTCAGGACTAAGGACAACATGGGGCGAAATTTGGTGGAGAGGAGACGGAAAGTCGTCGAATCAAGGCAGCGGGTTGGTAACAGCGGGAAGGGAGCTGGGGCCCACGGCTGGCATGAGGTGTGTGCGGGAACTTGGCCGGGAAGGCAGGGACGCCTTGGAGTCAGAAAAGACGTTGGAAGGAGCCTGGAAGGTCTTTCCTTGTGAACATCTTGTGTGAGGTACATTCATACCTCAGGCAGTCTATAGTCCGTACATCGACAGGTCGGTACTCCGTTATCTGGGAGGTTGACTGTGGTTGGCAGGAGTAGGCAAGGTAAGGTAGTCGTGTGGCCCTCAGGCAGAGACATGCGCTACGTACCCCTCGCGGCATGGCTAAGGAGATACTTTGAGGTCAGGTAAGGTAAGGTAGGTACGGAGTATGGCACTGTAGCATCTGCCATTGTTTCAAGGTCTTTTTCGTCCCTTCATTAGAGCCCTCCTTGCTCCTTTTGGACCTTTGGATGGAGAATGGATTCCATTGCGCCGAGAAGAGGTTGAGCATTGATATACACGGGGTGCACTATACACTTGGCTTGCCTCGCATTGGCCTCGTCCTTTTCGGTATCAGCATCTGACCTGGCAACGTTCTCCTTATTCGCACTCGAGACACTCTCTCCCAAGCTAAGGTACTGTGTAGACAAACTCCCACAGGTGACAGCGCTGAGCGGGGAGGCATCCCATTAATGGCAGGCGTGCGTCATTTTCGTCCTCCGAGATTTCCCAACTCCAGCAGGAGCCGAGAATAGAAAATTTGAGACAGGTCCCCGGCCACTCGCGAGAAGCAGCAGGAGCACACAGCCAGACACCCCCGGGCTCCTGCCCAGTCATTTGGGTCCGTCGGGAATTAAGGCGGCAGGAAAATCTCGAGGTACTTCCATCCCTGGTGCCTTGCTGCACATCTTCATGTACCCAAGGTACCTCTGATATTGTATCATTTTACGCTTTTTGCACCCATGGAAAACTCTTCGTCGATAGATCGCCTTCCCTGTCTCTGCCATTGCTAAACCTGGTTCTTCTCGTTTTTTGGCGAGTCGTTGTCAAGCCGTTGGTGTCCCGATGGAGGTTAGACAGTTACATTCCAACGACAAAACTAAATAGCGTCTCCCCAGAAAATCTCGAAAATCTCTTTTACCAACTCGGGCAGCCGGGCTGGCCCTCTTTGGGGGCCGAGTCAGTTCGGCCAGGTTCGGAATCTAGATGCGCTCTGCGTCACTGGCAACTGGGCTGGGAGCCTGATACTCCGTACGTAGTAGGACTCTTCAACCAGAGAAGACCATTTGGCGGAGACAGCTCCAGCTCAAGCTCCAGCTCCAGCTACCAATGTTTATCTGACCGTCTGCACAAGGTCAAAGCCATAGGTAGCGCACCGGGGAAACGGCACAACCGCCCTTTTGTTATGCAAACTTCCCCTCTGCAGAACATGGACCACCCATGCGACCGAGTTCTCTCCGTCGCCTGTTGGTCAAAGCAAGACCCCTCAGGTCTCTCTCTCGACCCCTTCTCGCCCCTCTTCGCCCCCTCAGGTACGCCGCCAGCTCTCCACTGAAGGCAGCCGGAAGCCGCTATTCTGTACCTACCTTAGTCTACGTAAGGTGCGGAGGCAGAGAGACACTCAAGAGGGAACACCCCTCTGTCGAAACATGAGAGCACTGGCTTTTTGCCTCCGCTTTCTCCTGGCACCAGTCAATTGCCATGCCAACGGGTGGGTGAGCTCCCTACCTCTAGCTACTGTGTAAGGGTTGCCTTCACTTTGTTGACACTCGGCGACTCAGCAGTCGAGCAACCAAATTTTGAACCCCGTCCGACGTCGCAAGTGTCTTGAAGCTATCGCCGACTGCGCATGACGGCCACTTGTCCACGAGGGAAAAGTGTCAGCTTGTCTTGGGTCGGAAGAGCGATTCTGTCTCCCTCTGCTCGCAACCAACCGACAGGGATTCGCGTGTCTCACCCAAAAACAAACAACCAGTCCAAGGAGACGCCACGCATCTCATCGCTAGCCTCGTCGATCATGGCCTTCTGCTTTGGGATAGAAGAAGAGGCACAGCGCCATGGCCCATTGAGGGGCAGAAGTGCCGTAGCTCGCGCCAGGACACCTACTGGCCAGAACGGATTTGACGGAACGATTGATAGCTCGTTGTGTTGATTCACGGATGCAAGGGAGCACCTTCAATTGGCAGCTTCGGGCGATGTAGCTTCGGGCGATAGCAAAGAGGACCGGAGATTGTACCTGCACAACCCCCTCACATACGATGCGACCGCAGCTCTCGAGTCCAGCCTTACCCTGCGCCGTCGTCGCCATCTAGTGAGCATCTAGTGCCCATCTCGACACGTCGCTGCGACCATGCCGAAAGCGACACGATGTAAACAAAACTAGCACGGCCCAGAGCCTCACTTGATCAACCACGGGGTCTTTTTCAGCGCCGTCATTTCGCAAACCATGGTGCGAGGCACTCGCCGAGTGGGAACCTCACTTGCGATTGTTCCTGGCAGCCTGGATAGACCCAGATCGTGTCAATCAATGATGGGAAAGGCAAGACGAGCATCGTCGATTGCGCCGGAGCTGGAGCAAAAGCGACATTAGCCGTGCTGGTTAGGAACAACACGGACCAGGGATAACCAGGGAAAAGACGGCTCACGCTCCAACTCTGGGCTTATCGGGGACAGCGACCTATATCAGAAAGGAGATGAGTGACGGCGCTTGGCAAAGAAGACGAAATGCCAAAAACCACGCATTTCGAGACTGGTCTGCTAGGTAGACTGCTTGCTACTGCCTCGACATATGCCTTCTGCCAGTCAGCCATTGCGCGCCGAGAGTTTTCTTTTTTTGGGGCAATCCTACTGTGGCTGACGATGCTTCCCCTCTTGTTTCTTCTTCCAGAAGCCGCCGGGTGGGATGACGGATGGTTCCCCCTCCCTTTCCTCACGCCATTGTCTCTGGACCTTCGTTTTTCCCATGTTTTATATCGCGCTTGTGGCTTGTCTTTTTCATCTAATCGGGGACGGCGCGGCCAATAATCCCCCGCAGCTCCAGTGTCAGCCCTCGCCATCTCATGCTACCATCGGAAACTAAGGTAGCCAGAGCCTCTCGGCCCAAGATTCTTTCGCCTACGGCTACCTACGAGAGTCTACGGGGAGGAATTATCGAGTCTAGCTGGCACAACATGGAGACACAATCGAATCAAAGTGGTCGATTGGAAAGTCGAGTTTGATTGCCACAGGCAGTACGACTTCTGCCGAGGTGCTACAAGTACAAGCAACACAACAAACGACGAGGTCAGAGAGCACATACATAGCCGTCGCATCGTCCGGTCAAGATCTAATTCTCTGACTGGCTCTGTGCACTGGCAGAACAGACACGTACATACAGCGGCAGCGGCAACTGATGAATGGGACGACAGAGCCCTGCATCTCACCTGCTCGTGTCGTGCAGTATCGGTACTTTGTCTACCACCAGTGCAATTCTACGGTCCAGCACATGAGAACGCACGCGCTGAACACACATTGACACGGCACGGCAGCAGCAGCATCAGCACATCACAGATCCCGAATCATCTCGTCACCGCGGGCCTCACTCCCCTGCCGCCGCGGGCTCCCAGTCCTGGTCCCAGGCTCCCAGGTCTCCAGTCAGGATCCCAGACCACACCAGACCCGGACTCTGTCCAGCGTCCCAGGAGCGCACGCCCCCGGCACGGACAAGGGTAGCTGCCAGTGTTTCGTTCCGAGCGCTCCACCACGGCATCCCTCCCACATCCTTGTCACTGCCATCCTTCCTTCACTCGATACTTGAGTCTGGGTACGGAGCAGAGACCCAGAGACCAAAGGAAAGGGACAAAAAAAAAAAAGAAGAAGAATCCACCGGCCGAGGTGTGTGCGTAAAGTACGAATAAACTCGCTCGTTCTGCCGTTTGCCCACGCGACGCTGGACTCTACCCTCACCCACACCCCTCCCCCCGACAGGGAATGCCATCTAACCCCCAACCCAGGCACCGCAACGCACCGCACACAAAAACGCGACCACGACCGCCTACCATACTTTATTCGTTTGGTTCCCAGGTTTCGTCCTTCGTCTCCTCTACTTACACCTACACCTCTTCCCTCAACCCCCTTCCGTTCTTTCTCACCAACTACTATTCTCTCGTTAAACCCACGACTTGAACATTCGCTTCACCCAATCCCCATCGACAACATCGGGCCCATTACACCGGCCATCTGGACCATCTCAAGCAACCCGGTTCCATAGTGAAGCCTCGCTGCCCAGTACTCGGCATCCTATTCGTCAACGCAAACGACAACACCCCATTCTGTACTCGCCCTGGACAGAGAGTTTCTATACGGAGCTCTCCTACAGATCGAACCATCAACAGTGCTCATGTACACGGCTGGTCAACCGCGTCCCAATCTCACGTCGTCTAGTCATAAACTCTGTGGAATCAAGTCGTCGACACGTCACTTACACCCGCCGTCGTCTCACACCAGTAACCCAGCCTCATCGGGGCCCAGTCCTCATCGATTCATCAGTCTTTAGTCTTGACAAGCCGTTTGTTCGCCGTCGAGAACAAACAACCGATCCACCGGTCTCTGGCAGACCCATCTGCAACGCCTCAGCCGAACAGTTCTCCGTGTCAGCGGCGGAGGAAAACCCCAGCTTCATTTTCCGCTCGTATTCGATTCCCACCCGGCTTTGAAAGCCCCAACTTCATCATGGGCCTTCCGCGAGCTCTTCCCGTTGCGGCCGGCGCGCTGGCTCTGATTGCCACCATTACGATTGTCATCATCCACGTCGTCCTCGCCGCTCATATCGCCGATGCGGCGCCTGTGCGCACCTCCTCGATTCTGTCTTCGATTCTGGAAAGCATTCTTTTGGTATTCTTGGGATGGATGTTGTCAACCAACTTGGTTGCCAAGTTTAGGAATTCCTCAAAGCGCTTCATCAGCGCCATGTTTGGTGCGAGTGTCCTCGTCTGCACCATGGCCACTGCTGCGTCGGTAGCCACCATGATCTGCCTTAGCAACGCTACGAGGGACCTGGCGGGTACCGTTCTCGGTGCGACCCAGACGAGCTTCCTCATCGCTTCGTCCGTCGCTCTCGGTCTCTGCTTTGCTTGTCAGCTCATCTTCATTGTCATTCACTTCGTCTTGGCCCGCCTCGTTGCCCGCGACGAGTCTGGTTCCATGCACTCGGACGAGGAGTCCCAGAGATCTCCCAACGTCCACATCAAGTCGGTTCCCTACCACCGTACTTCGCCCACCTTTGACGGCAGGAGCCGGTCCACCTCCATGGGCTCGCAAAGTCCACCTCAGTCGAGCAGCGGCCATTCCGCCACCGACACACTGAGCTCGTTCCGCTCCTCGTTGTCCAACGTCGTCCGACCCATTTCCTCCCGAACCCGCCTGCTCCCTCTGCGGGAGAAGCGCAGGGCAGAGTCGATTGACTCGAACCACTACCGCTCGCGATCGAGCAGTGTCAACGAGGATTCGTCCTTTGACTCGTGGGACACGTCTTCGGTCGACATGCAGAGCCGCATGACCGTCCTGGGCACATCCTCTCCCCCCGGCAGGTTTTTGGAAACGATCCCTGCCAGCCCTACAACCAGCCGCAGTCCCAGCCCTGGAACGCCGTTGGACCTGGACCTGGAAGCTCCGCGCACTCGTCGTCGGAGCCGCAGCTACAGCCCCAGCCCCATGGGCACCCTCCGCAACCCTGAGCCTACCTTTACGCTGCAGACTTCTGCCAGCGAGTGCTCTCTGCGTCGTCCCGAGCCCGCCTTTACCATGCAAGGCTCGGCCAGCGAATCTCATATTCACCCCCTATTCCGGTCTGACTCCCCAGACCCACCGCCGATGGTGACACCCGGCACGGTTGTCACCGCGGCGCCAGACGCCGGCCGCGTCATCTCGGATCGACACAGCGTCCGCCGCATGCGCAGTGGCAGTCTGCCCGGAGGTCCTAGCCCCCTCAGCCGCACCAGCAGTTATGACAACTTTTTCCCCAACGGCCAGCCGCCCGTGAAAGAAGAGAAGGAGGAGCTCCCATCACCCCAAGAGGAGGACGAAACACTCGGTGAGAGACAGATGACGCCCCCGATCCCGGAGTGGATCCTAACCGCCGGAGCCAGGACGAGCCTAAACGGGTACCAAAGTCGGAAGCTCCGCATCGACGGGGACGCCGAGCAAGAGCAATCATGATGAAGGAGGGATGCACCAACGGCAACAAGAGGTGTGTCCAAGGAGAAAACCTGACCCGGCGTGGTCTTCATGAATGTCTAATTGCTATTTTGTCCTCGACAACAATAAGGGAGTACGAACTCGGGCGGTGATACCATATTTGAGGGATTTTATTTTCTTTGTCCAGCGCGGCGTTGTCCTGGGAGGCAGAGTAGGAAAAAAAAGATCCAACATCGAGTGGCCAGAGAAGCCGCCGACAAGCTAGGATAGATGGCTACAGTAGCTGAAAACAACTTAACGAGTAACGAAACTTGGTGTCTTTTTGATAAGTGGTCAACGTTTGGTGAAATGATACCGTCTCGTATCGGAATATGGATGATCCCGCGCCGCTACGCATGGCCTCCCCGTTGCGGACCCGGCCGTGCTGTGCACGGACCTCAGTGATGGCCCCAGGCGTTCCTGCAAGTATCCAGGCGGGA